GGCCAGAGAAGCAGTGCGTCAGTGCGCGCCCGGGATCCGAACCCAGGCCGCCAGTAGCGGAGCACACGCACTTAACCGCTAAGCCACGGGGCTGGCCCAGCAAGATGGTTTCTGAGAGGCACATAAAACTGTAAAGCGTCACTTTCCCATATTAAGTCAATGAAACCCGTGGACGGTTAGCCATTAAGGATTAGGTAGCTGGTAACTAAAGATTTTTTTTCAGGCAGTCATTAATTGTAGCCTTTAGTTGTTTGCTTGCCCATTGTTAGCTGTGCTGCTTATCGTTAAAAGTCATGTAGATAGGCAATATATTATCTGACTCCCACTAGGTTCCTTATAGATAACATCTCTGATGCTTGGGTCACCATGGTAACAGGTGCTTGAGTTGCTTTTCAGGACGTAACAGTAGACCTGTTTAGGCAGTTTAGGCCAGTTGAGACCATCAACCCATCAACTGGACCTGTGTGAGTGTCCTATAGGTGACCTCTTGATTTTAGGGGACCAAAAACTCCACTCTCAGATCATGCTAATACCACCATCTTGTGAACATGCATCCCATGAAGAGCCATGAAGCTTGCCTATGCCTGCACAGAGCATCAATTACCTCACTGTTCCTTTCCTCCAATCATCTATCCCCCACCTTTCAGACCATCTTGCCCTTTTATTCCATAAATATCCTTAATCCCCATTTTTGGGGAGATGGATTTAAGACTTGTTCTCCCATCTCCTCACTTAGCTGCCTTGTGAATAAACCCTTTCTCTGCTGCAAACTCATTGTCTCAGTGATTGGCATACCATGTGACAGGCAAAACGAGCCTGATTTGGTAACATCAATTTCCTGGACTTATGAGTGTCCATCATCTCATTTACATGGCTAAAGAAATGGAAGGTTTTCCCACACAGGCATCAGTGCCACCGCAAAGCCCCTCCTAACACTCCCACTGCACACCTAACAGGACACCTCAGTTGGGTCTACTTCCCTCACCAGAGGCAGTTCAAGCCTCCACTAGACTCCCCAGCCGTGTGCCAGCCTGCCCCATGAATTCCTGAGACCTTCACTGAGGGCCAAGGAGACACCAGCTCCTTTCTCTTAAAGGTGTATCCTCTCTCTTGTCTCTTGAATGTCTCACCCCAAATCACTCTTCCGCAGTAAGAAAGTTGGTGGGGATCTTCCCCCACCCCTCAAGGCCTTGACTTTCAAGCCAATCACCATTGCATCTCACGGGCTTCCAGGACCCAAGGTCAAGTACCATGAGGACAGAAATTTCACCTTTGAACCTTGGAGAAAATCTAAAAATGTTACTTCTCAATAGGTATAGGAATAAACTCAAATGCCTTGAAAAAATTCCACTCAACCAGAATCAAAAAGAAAAGGGACTTAAAATTTTCCAGTATTCCCTCTGTTCTGGCACATCAACATTTCTCTTTAAAAGCAAGCATTTTTAATAAACAGTAAAGCTAGGAGAAGGCACTAATGACGGAGGTGGCTTGGCATTAAGGGATTTGGATTTGAAGCCTCATAGCTATAGATTGTGACAATACTGGAATTAGCTTGTCATTTACCTAAGAGGCTGACACGCCAGCCACGTAGCTACAATGCAGGAGTAAATAAAGCAACAATCATGTCATTTGGTTATCTGCTTTTAAAAAAGTGATTCTTTAGCATCAGTGAAAGGAATGGTGTTATTCTAATCCCTTAAGAAGCTTTAAAAAAAAAAAAACAGCATCAGTGAAAGAAAATTTATTACTCAAAATCTTAACATCTTAGCTGATCATGTGTTCAGAAGGGAAGGAATCAATGTTCTCAGGATAAACATCCCCACAAACATTCAAAGACACCATGTAACCCCTTCCTGAGCACAAAGTGTTACCCACAGTTAACTCTGTGACTGAACCACTTATTCCCTGAAAATATTTTATTCATCCCAGTTTGATGTTCCCCCAGGTCTCTTGCAGGGATGAGGAGACATTTTTTATTTTTTATTTTTCTACTTTGCCAAGGTGAATTATGGAATCATACTACTGGGAGATTAATACGGGGGCACTGCATCATTTACCACCAAATGATCAGATCATTTCCCCCATAACAAAAAAGGATGGAGCCTAATTATGGAATAACCCAAAGAGATTTCTTTCTACTTGTTGTCACAAAGAGCAACGCTCTCTAATTTATTTTATAGGGAAATGTAAATGTAAAAGTCTGTGTTAATTCAATGTTAAAGTGTAAAACAATGAATTTTAAGCCAGGAATGAAGCTTCGAGAGGTTTAATGGCCTCACATGATATATATGGCATAGTGAGGATTAGAGTTTAAATCTAAATTTTCTTTGCCGTTGTGTGTATTTGGAAGTTGGCTATTATTCAGTGACCTTCTGAAATATTGATAGGCTGTCAAATAATAGAGAGAATGTAAGACAGACCATCCTCCTTGATGATCTCTAGGAGTTATTCAGGTATCTCTGTGCCCCAATGACATGATCAGGGCTAGCGGCATGCTCCCGTGTCACCTGCTTTAAATGACCTCTAGAGAGTCCTTCAAGTTCTGTCTCTACTACTGAATTTTATAGGCTATTAATGCCTTTTCAATTATATCATTAGCTATTTCCCTGCATAGCCAGCCATAGCTCTTTTAAGAGATCAGATACAGAATGCTGATAAGAAATCTGTTTCTGTCCTTCATTAAACAATAGATTTTATCATTGAGAGACTTCACACATGCTGAGAGAACAAACATCAAGGGCTTACTCTAAGTCAAATGCCTCTGTCTCTACAACAATGTGATATGATCACGAGGGAGCCCCTCCTTCCCTTTCTAGAACCGCCCTAAAAGGACAGACCTGGTTTTGTAAAGGCTCAGTGTGTTAAAAATCAAGCTCGCCACCTCCCCCCAACACAAGCCTGCTTTATGAGCAGCTTTCACCCAGTCTCCCGTGCGAGAAATGTCGAGGTTTCTCTTGACTTCCTCTCACAGTCACTTTCCAAGGTCTGTATGTTCTACCTCTTAAAAATTTCTCATCCATCCTTTCCCCTCTGGTTAGGGGGACCATATGTTCCTGTTGTCCAGGACAATCTTGATTTATGCCTGTTGTCCCAGAATAATTATGAGCAGTGCCCCCTTCTGCTCACAAAAGTGTCCAGGATGGACAACAAATGATATGGTCCACTCCCTCCATTCCCATCACCACAACGTACTTCAAGCCCTCATTGATTCCTGGATGGGAGTGGTCGTTTCCTTTCATCCAATTACTTTTTAAAAGTTTTAATTGAGTGCCAAGCCTGTACAGACACAATGCTGGCACCAGGTTGGGCTTCCCTCTAAGGCTGTGCAGTTTGCACACTGCACAAGGGTGCCTAGCCCAAGGAGTGAGTGGGGCTGAAATTCAGCACCCACTTCACCTGCCAGGTCATACACCTTGGTGTGGGCTGGGTCCTCCTCCCAGGAGGAAGAGGCACTTTTTTCTTGGCACAAAGACACCATCTGCTTGCCAAGTCTTGCACCCTCTGTGCTGCATCTGCCAAGTCGGGGGGTTGTTTTCTAACTCAGATAAAGACACTGCATAGTCTAAGGGTGGGTCCTGCACTGTGGAAATTACATTCCTTCTTCAAGTAAATCCCTATTTGAATCCATTCCCCTCTTCTGTATTGACATTCCTACATTGCAAACCTGATCTGGCCTCTCCCTACATCCTTCAACAGCTCACTGTCTTCTATAAGCTCCAGTTCAAAGTCCTGGGCATGGTGCGCAAAATCCTAGGTCATCTGGCATCGGCCCTCTCTCCAGACTCATTTCTCCCCATACACACCTTGCTTCAGCTATGCTAGACTTTTTCTGGTTGCTGGAATATGCCAAAATGATTTCCACTGGCTTCACTCCTTTTCATGTGCTGTTTTGGCTGGGATGATCATCCACACCCCACCCCACACCTGACAATCTACTTACTGATGATGATGAAGAAGGAGGAGGGAGAGGAGAAAAAAATGAAATGATGACAAAGATGGTGGATAACCACCGTAACAGGCTGTTGAATAGAACAACTTTTCCTTTGCCTGGAAATGGCACTACGATCCACAACCCAAAACTACAGATCCTATCTGTCCCCAAATTCTAAAAATGAGCTACCAAGAACTGGAGCAGAACACTCCTCGGTGCTAAATGGCCCTACCACAATCAACCCAACTCAGCACACAGACCCCCACTCTATATAAGCAGCTTGGGGGTGAGTGGGACCCTAGTGGAGGATGCCGGGGGCTTCTCCTCCTCTCCCATTCCTGGCCCCCTCCCACCCAAAGAAGCTAAGTGAGGGGGCAGAAGCCAACATATTTGTGATGTTTGCAATAAAGGGAGACAAACAGTCCCTTCTCTAGTTAGACATCTGCTGGGGAGGCAGGGCACAGAGGGACACAGCAGGAGAGGCTGCATGGCACCATGCATTTCTCACAGACGTCATCAAAGTTTCCTGGCCTGAGAAGTCTTGGAGATGCCCCAATAAGAAGGGTGCTTGCCAGGTACAAGGACCCATCAGCAAAGGGTTTTGGAGTGTACTATGGGCTGGGGCAGGGGAATATTGAGCTGAAGTAGGATAGAAGAGAAGGAGCTAGAGGGAAGATCACTTGTGTGTCATTGCCCCTCAGCTGAAGACCACCAGGAACACACATCGAGTCAAATAAGTTGGGTTTATTACTCATCGTAGCAAGAGAGAATAGACTCCATATGGTACTGCGGGGAGTCTCGGTGAGAGGGTGTTAGAGAGAACCTATTACGAAATTTGGACTTTGGTTGAGTAATTTGTGGGAAGGCTTCCTAAGGAAGCAGGAGCTTGCTCTGGATGAGACAAATCTATGACTGAGTATCTCAATGAATCTTATCTATAGGAAAGGCAGACTCGAGCAATTTAAAGCTATAATTGGTAGAGTAGCAGTCTAGTTTAGTGAGGGGGGGTGTTTGGTATTTTGTGGGTGGCACCTTGTCTGAAGTGGGAAAGGATCTTGCCCTCATGGTCCTCAGAGGAAACCAACCCTGCTGGCAACTTTATCTTGGACTTCCAGCCTCCAGAACTACAAGAAAACAAATTTCTGTTGTTTAAGCCACCCAGTCTGTGGTATTTTGTTATGGCAGCCCTAGCAAACTAATACAGACCTATAACAAGTAAAGAGATTGAATTAGTAACCAAAACACTTTCCACAATGAAAAGCCCAGGCCCAGACGGCTTTACTGGTGAAGTGTACTAAACATTTAAAGGATAATTAATATCAATTCTTCACAAACTCTTCCAAAAAACACAGAAAATGAGGGAACACTTCCTAACTCATTCTATGAGGCCACTGTTGCCCTGATACCAAAAACAAAGACACGAAAAAAAAAAAAAACACTCAAGTCCAATATCTCCTATGAATATAGATACAAAAATCCTCAACAAAATATTAGCAAATCAAATCCAGAAACATATAAAAAGGATAATGCATCATGACCAAGTGGGATTTATCCCAGGAATGCAAGTTTGCTTTAACATTCAAAAATCAATTAATGTAATACACTATATCAATAGAATAAAATACATCTTTATTGATCATCTCAATAGAAGCAAAAAGGCATTTGACAAAATTCAACACCTCTTCATGATAAAAGCACTCAACACACTGGGAATAGAAAGGGTTTTCCTCAACCTGATAACACCATCTGTGAAAAATCCACAGGTAACATCATACTCAATGGTGAAGGACTGAAAGCTTCCCCTCTAAGGTGAGGAGCAAGACAAAGATGCCCATTCTCACTACTGCTATTCCACATGATACTGGAGGTTCTAACCAAGGTGATTAGGCAAGAAAAAGAAATAGAGGGCACCCAGATTAAACAGGAAAAAGTAAAATTCTCTCTATTTGCAGATGACATAATCCTGTCTCCACATCCATGCTCTTCATCTCACTCGAACTGAAGCTGAAGAGGTGACAACATCACCTTTCTTGGAAGGAAAGAGTTGTTAAATTTCTTCATAAAGGCTCCACCTCCTCCCTCTGAATAACCACATCTGTTCCGATTTTCAAGTCCTCCAGATTGGTGCTATCCCACAGCCCAGGTGCCCCCTTCAGTGACGAGAGCCCTGCTTGTTTCTCTGCTTGCTAAGCAGTGAGGGCCCCCCAAAGGGACTCTACTGTCCCACGTGCTTGCGTTCTTACTGCTGGCTCTGATGAGGAGTTTTAAAAACACGGTGGGGTACAGCCCTTAGTGGTGCAGCTGCTGTCAGTGCCCCTATGCCCTCCGCACACACATAAAAATAATTTGTAGAGCCTGAGGGCTTTGTCTGGCTGCACATCGCACCCTGCCAGGACCTGACTTGATAAGCACCTTTATTGGCTGTCTTCCCTTCCTGCTCACTCCAGGCCGCTCCCCTCTGCAACTGGTGTGTCCTGATGTGGCCTCTCAGGTAAACTACTTGCACTGGAATCCTTGTCTCCAGGTCAGCTTCTGGGGAACCTAAAATGATAACAGTCATAAGTCGTGAAATCAACCCAGTGGACCTTGATTAACAAATTCATAAAACTGAACTAGAATAGGAACTATCAGATTGTACTCTGCATTTGTTTCAACTTGGGACTGTATACTGGGTCATGTAAACTGGATCTCTTACTGTGAGACAAGGGCAAGAATATTTAGGAAAACTCTGCTCTAAAGACTTTTCATCATTCTATAAGCAACTGTCATGGCAAAATGACCTTTTAAAAAAAAGTGCCACTTTTCTAGAATATGCTAAAGAGAGGCCAAAAAGCAATGCTAGGTTTTCTGGGTAGGAGAGTGCTTGTTTTTTTACTCCCTGAATTTTGTGATTATTTAATTTTCAAAAAAGTTAACAACAATAATCCTAGGAAGACTCCGGTGGGAGTGACAATATATATTTCTGGCGGCATTGGGAACCGCACACTTTGAATTAGCAATCCTATAATTCCTTGGATGTATGCTAAGAAAAACAGAACTAAAATGTGACATGCAGGATGATGAACCCTGCAGCGTTGTACGTTCAGTAAAAATGGAAATAACTGACATGTCTGGACGGGAGGGATTGGAAGGGCCAATATTCTTGGAAAAAGAGGCTTTGAAGTTGAGTTTGCAGAGCACTTTACAGAAAGACTGAGGAGGAATGGTGGGTCGTTTGTACCAAAAACCTCACTGGTGAAAACTGGGGGTGCTTCTGGTGCTTCGATGACACCCCCAGGCGTGCTCAGTTCTCCGGAGAGGGTTGAAGGGGGTCCAACACAATTTACCGTGAACTTAAGACAGTGACACAGCTCTCACACGGATTCAATATTCATACTTAAAACGTGACTTGGCCTCAGAAAGCACAGGGGGAGGTTCCAGAAAGCAGTTAGGAGGTTCCAGAAAGAGGACTAGTTGGCAGCGATTTGTCCTTTTAGCCTGGCACCCAAGACCACACGGGGCCTGCGGCCAACGGGAACACAAAATCCCCACGTGGGATTTTAAAAACGAATTGTTCTTAAAAGAGCTTCCCACACCTCAGAGTAACGAGTAGTCGGGTCTCCCAGGCCCGCGGAGAATTTAATGGCTTAAACACGGAGCTGTCTCAACGTCGTTGTTGTTGACAGGCAGTATAAACGTCCGGACTGGGAGAGGAGAGGAACCAGAGCGGGAGGGAGGCGCTGTCACTGCGGGCGATCCCGGAGGGCCTGGGGAGCAGCCCGCGGGGACAGGGGACCGAGCAGGAGCCGGCGGGGAGAGCTCGGAGGCAAACACCGGCCGCCCCCACCGCGCCCCGCCAGCAGGAGCGCGCTCGAGCCCCGCGGTCCCCGCGGTCCCGGGACGGGACGGGCGCG